CACACGCCGCCATGCCCTGCCACACACTGACTATGGCGTATTATTTGATTTTACTTTTCCATGTTTTGTCGTGGTGATCGGGGTCTTACCATGTAGCTCTGGTTAGCCTTGAACTTGATATGTAACTCATGGTGCCCTCAAAACATCACACCCTCTGTCTTTGACCTCCAGGCTTTTGGCCACTATACATAGCCAGATTGTTTTAATGGCTTGAGCCTTCAGCCAGGCTCTATGTTCTTAAGGGTAGCTGTCCTTTGTTGAAGCCCTAGAGAATTATTGCTGGCTTCTGAGATCCTCAGTAACTACCGGTCTCCCCAGCTCCAAGCACTCTTTCTTGTAACCCCTTCTCCAGAAAGCTTTGATCTTGTAAATGCAAGGCTGAAGAAGACACGTTTTTTATTCTTTGTTTCTTAGCAGAAACAGACAGAGTCCCTGCAAACATTCATACCATGGATTTAGCAGGGAAGCAGACAGACCAAGGACGACCTTCTGTGGACTTCACTTTCTTCGGGGGGGGGGGGGGAGAAACACAATAGATGACGAAGAACTGGATGTAGCAACTCACATAGCAATAACACATCAGCAGAAAGACCATAAGGAGATGGGTAGCGAGAGGAGCCATTTGGACGATGACCTCAGGATAGGCCCTTTGAGGAGGTGGCCTTTGCGGTTGAGTGCAGTTGCGAAGATGGGCTGAAGATTGGGAGGAAGAACATTAGAAGTAGATAGGGACAGCAAGCGTAAAGACTGTGACATGGGGACACACTGGACATGTGGCAGCAACAACAACAAGATGGCTGAGGTGACTGCATAGGCAGGGGCAGGAACAGCCACACACACCATTCCCACCCTAATCTGAAAAGTGTAACACAGAGCTCGGCTGCGGTCACCTGAGTGTGGCACCACTTCAAAGTAAGTCCCCCACTGTAGGCTCAGGGAGACAAGACAACTGCTTGTCTTCCAGAACAACAGCTGGCACAGGCCAGTGAAGATACCCACCGAGTACCCTCTACTCCTAACAGCAAAACAAACCCCAGGTCAGGGAGAGGGATCAGCAGGTAAAAGTGCTTGACACCAAGCCTGTTGACCTGAGTTCAAGTCCCAGGTCCCATGTGGAGCAAAGAGAGAGCCAGCTCCTAAAAGCTGTCCTCTGAACTCCACACATGTGCTGTGGCACACACGCTCTCCCCCATCCCCATAAAACAGCTGCAATTTTAGAAAGAAATGCAAATTTTTAAAGAAGAATCCCATGAAAACCTGGGTGAGGCATGACATCTGATAGGCTCAGCCTAGTCAAGGGGCCAGGCTGGAAGTCCGTGTGTCTCTGACTGCAGTGTTCAGCAGCTATTGTTATCCTATAACAAGCATGGGGTTCCAGGCAGGAAGAAGATAGTGCCTTTAGAGGTTTGCCACCTCTTGCCTTTGAGGGAGGATAGCTATGTCCCCAGAGGGCAGGCTAGCAGCCTGAAGCCTGAGGGGCCTGGGTTCTCCCTCTCTGCACACCTCTGCAAAACTGGATGGGCTTCCATGAGCTCCTTCTCTGCTCTCTGCCTCACTTCCCTCCTAGAACACGGAAGAAGTTCCACAAGCAGGTTCTCCCCACTTTACCGGTCTCTCTGGGACTCTGGCTCTTTCCCCACCCCTGAAGCGATGAACATGAGAACTCCTGCTTTTCAGGATCCACACCGATCATGACCAGATAATGCACATGTTATTCCTGGCTTATACGTCATCCAGTGTTGTCTGCTTAATCCTTGTGCATACAGGGTCCCGTGTGGAACTCTCCAGATCTATCTGCAGCAACTTTACACCTTCCTTTAGAATTGGTGGGGGACTTTAAGGTGGAGGATGAATGGGAGGAGGAGAACATATAATCTGAGGTTTCGTAAGATGTGATAAGCCGGGTGTTTACCCCTAGAACCTGAGCTGAGCAAAGGGGAAGGGAGTTCAAGGTCAGACTGGGCTATGTCGTGAGACCTCGTCTCAAACAACAATCAAAACAATCTATGATAGAGGTAGAGCTGATTATCTACTTTTTATTGGCAAAGCGTCTGAGATCGTTGTGCCGTCTCCCCCATTTCTTCCTCCTTTCCTCTGTCCTTCTCTTTTTTCCTTGGTTTTGAAACAGCGTCTCAATCTGTAGTCTAGACTAGCACAGGAACTTAGGCCGAACTGTGTGTTTTTGTCTGGCAGAGACTCTCTTTAATAGCCAAGTATGACCTTGAACTCTTGAACTCCTTCCTGCCTCTGTCTTCCACAGCCACCTCAACTGGTCATCACTTCCACTGGTCAATACATCTTTGGTCCTGTGTTCCCTCCCCATTTTGCTTGCTGCTTCTCCTTTCTTCTTTTCCCTCTCCCATCCCTTCCTTCCTTCTTCCTGTGTGTATCTCATTATGTAGCCCAGGCTGGCCTCAAGCTTGAGCTGTTCCAGCTGCTATCTCTGAAGTGCTGGGATTCCACCGTGCAGCACCACAGCAAGTGAGAACTGCGTTTTAATATGATGATTTGGTGGTGGCATTAACAGGACATCAGAGCTGCTGGAGGGGGTTGGCTTTCATTGGCAGACCACGTCTAGGTGTTTGGCAGCCCTGCTTAAATCTGATGCTGAAAGAATAAGAGCATGATTACCCATCCCCCTTTATCAGAGAGGCTGTTGAGTGCTCCTTCTGAGGCCTGAGTTCTGTCCCTCTCTCTTGTGTCCTCTCTGAATTCCAATTCTTTATCTGTGAGGCAGAGGTCCCACAGTGCCCCGCCTCATTCCTTGGGTTGTGCTCCAGCCACTAGGACACTGGGCACTCACACCTGTCTGTGAAGTGAGCCACATGAGTGCAGGTGACAAGGCCACAGCAGACCACAGCTAACGTGACTTCAGGAAATGGTATCACTTCACTAAAGCTTCTACTTTTCTTCTGGAAGAAGAGATAATCCTGCCCCCTCCAAACAAGCAGACATTCGGGAGCAGGAATGAGAACCATCTTAGAAAGTAATACTGTTTTCTTCTTCTTTGTCTCCTGGCCTTCAGTCTAACTCTTCTCCCCCTAAAAGACCACTGGGGTTCCTCTGGGTACCTACCAGGGTGCTGGGTGCCTCACACGGTTTCTCATGAACACCCCTGCCCTTCCCAGTTTACATGTCTGCATCGTCGCTGGAAATGCCTAGCACGGAGAAACGTGTGTGAGCAACCTCACATCCCCTGTCAGCCTTAGCAGGGTTCCCAGAACAGCGTGTCCACTCAGAACCTGGGGCTGGCACAGACACACATCCTTTTCTGGAGAGCATAGCCTCGAGGCAGGAGGAACTCAGGGTGACTCAGCTTCACGGGTGACCAAGAGCCTGTGAAGTAAAACAGACCAGCGCTCCAGCAGGGCTGCCTTCGGATCCCAGGAAGGAAGGGGCGGCTGGAGAACTCACTCCTCAGGCTGGTAATGCCTACCAAATGTTTGCCCTCCTGCTGAGACCTTAGCACAGTGGGCAGGGAGGTTAGACATTTCAGCCTGGGTTACACGGGAGACAGCAGAGTAGGGATTTGAGCAGAGGCTTCTGACTTAGATGCCCTCGTTCTTCCCACACGTCAGGAAAGAAATGTCCTTTCCCCAACCCCCACTTCCCGTGACACTGCAGAGTTCCCTCTGTGTGATTAAAACAAAACAAAACCTGACCCATTGAAATTTTTTTTTTTTTTCACTTTTGAGAGTTTAGAACAGATAATACCCCCAGGTCCTTTTACCAGCTGCACTCAGGTGGAATGTTCCTCTCCTCCCACCCATTGTTTGGGACTGGCTCATAGACAGGAAATGTACAAGGGTGGGCAGGGGGTCCTAGGGGTACAGGGATGTGCAGAGGTGTGCATGGGTGACAAGAGTAAACAGACAACACTTGCCTCCTGGCAGGGCAACAGATTGGCTGCTAGCAGACTCGTTTCCGTGGATCTGTCCAGCACCCGAGTCAGAGCTACCATCTACCCTGCTTTGGGGGTCAAGGGTTGGGAACGCCACTGTTAGGGAACATTCAGAGGAGATGTGGCCCGGCAGGAAGCACAGGGCCATGCCAAACAGGAAAGAGGAGGGCGAGCCTGTTAGGCACCGAAACGTCACCAGGATGCATGCCAAGGCTGGGCGGGCTGAAATACTGGGGCAGAGCCGCTGGGCACATGACTCTGTTGAAAGCCTCCCAGGGAATGACTTCTAATCCCTGCCTTAGTGAAGGATTTGAGGAAGGCTCCAGCCTGCCGACTGCTGGGCTGGGCCATGGGGGGGAATCCTGTGCTGGCCCTGTCCTGGCACACAGCCACAAGGACACTTCTCAGGGAAAGCCTTTGGCCCAATAAGTCTGTTTTCTCTTTTCTTTGGAAACTGGGATTTGGAATCTGCTCAGGGGAAAAAATGTAACCTACAAACAAATAGCCCTGGCCATCTGTGCCTCCCTTGGAGCCAGGTCAAGGCCAGGGAGAGCTCAGCGGCTCTGGACTCTCTAGGTGCCGGTCAACCCCTCTAGTCAGTCTCCGGCTGCCCTAAAATAATGTCTCCTCTCCATACCCCTCCCCCAGTGGTGCTCTTGCCCCAAGTCTTTGCATAGTAAATGCTCAACAAATGTTGCCTAATATCTTTATTAATTTCCTCAGTTCTGTCATAGCCTTCACAGCAGATATGATTTGTCTCATGCAGTTATCGCGTGACAAGTTTGTGGGCTTCTTGAGGGCAGGGATTGTGTGTTCATTCTCCAGTGTCTTCAAGCACATGTTTATCCAGAGGAAATTCCATGGGTGGCAATCTGGTCATTCAAGTTGGTGATGAAATGCACAGACTTCCGTCTAGAGTTCCTAAAGCAGTTTGGAGTCACTGTAGCCTGAAGAATAGAGACGAGGGCAGGACACAGAAGATCTTAGCTTACTTCTGTTTCAACCCTCTGCTAGTTTCCTTAGAAAGATTAATCTTTTTTGAACCCTAACTACCTACTTTCCAAAATGCAGATAATGGTCTTGTTTGTCTTCTTCACAGGTCTGCTGTGGGCATCAGTGAGCGTGCACACAGGGGATGCTTAGTTGGCATCTGTCTTAGCTGTGTGCTGATTATTCTATGAGTCCCCTTGGAGGCCACTGCCATCACTCCCACTGTGATTTAAACAGGAATGTCCCTCATTGGCTCTCACATTGGAGCGCTTGGTTTCCAGCTGGTGGTGCTGTTTGGAAAGGTCACGGAGCCTTGAGGAGGTGGTGTCTTGTTGGAGTCACAAGGGTGAGCCTGGAGGTGGAGTCCTGTCTGTGCTCTGGATTCTGACTGTAGATCAGTGTGACTATCTGCCCTGAGTTCCTGCTGCCATGCCTTCCCTGCTGTGATGGACTGTGAGCCAGAAGACACTCTTCATCCTTAAGTAGCTGCTGCCACAGCAATGCGAAAAATAAATCTACAACTGTTAAACTTGTCAGAACAGGAGCTGTGGGTGCCGTAGTGGGTAGACAGGTCAGCCTGACTTTTTTTTTTTTTCTGTTTCCTGTGATCCAAATGTGGTATAGGACAATTCTGTATTCTGTTAATTGTGTTTTAAATAAATACTGATTGGCCAGTAGCCAGACAGGAAGTATAGGCGGGACAACCAGACAGGAAGTAGAGGTGGGGCAATGAAAACAGGAGTATTCAGAGAAGAAAGAAGTTCTTCCCACAGTCCTGTCCAGACACCTAAGAAAAAAGATGTAACCTACCCAGCTGAAAAAGGTACTAAGCCATGTGGCTAATATAGAAAAAAATAATGGGTTAATATAAGTTACAAGAGGACTACTGAGAACTCAAGAACAATGGTAGTGGGTTTTTGATCCTACTGCACATACTGGCTTTGTGGGAGCCTAGGCAGTTTGGATGCTCACCTTACTAGACCTGGATGGAGATGGGTGGTCTTTGGACTTCCCACAGAGCAGGGAACCCTGATTGCTCTTCGGGCTGAGGAGGGAGGGGGACTTGATTGGGGGAGAGGGAGGGAAATGGGAGGTGGTGGCAGGGAAGAGGCAGAAATTATAAATAAATAAATAAATAAATAGAGTTAATAAGAAGCCTGAGCTAATGAGCCAATCAGTTTATAACTTATGTAGACCTCTGTGTGATTTCTTTGGGATTTACCAGCTAGTCAGGACAAAAACCCCCAACAAGCAGGCCCTCATGTTACACAAATGTGTATTTCTTAAATTTGGGGATAGTCACATCATGCTTCTCAGGGGTGAGGGGTTGACTTTAACCTTTGAGAGTTTGTTTTGACTGTGCCACTTTCCAGCTTTACTCCTGACCTAATATTTCGGAGTCCACTTTCATAGGTGTCCCATAAAATGTGACCTCAAACACTTACAGTTTGCTATTGCATGATTAAAGAAGGGAGAAGCCAGGGGTTATCTGAAGGTGTCGAAAGAAGTATGAGACACAGTCTTAACTCTGAAGGAGTTTACACTATGGCTTACTAGCCACAGCAGAATTCTAGACTGGTAGGCAAAGCGCATGATATAATAAGGATGGTCTGTGAAGACTCTACAGGGAAATGGGCTTTGTATTCAGCCTTACAAAACACTGATGCTTGTGCTGGAGTCCTGGGAGGTCGGTGCCACTGGGCCCTGCTGATAATAAAGGTATGGGTGGAACTGCAGTATTTTTTTTTTAGTTTCTGAGCATAATACATTTATGTATTCATTATATCTGAGCATTCAGACATTTTAGCAATGCAAGCATTTTAAAAAAAATATCTGAATCCCTCAAACTGTTGACATTCTGGGATTGCTGACTTCATGATAAGAATGTGTGTGTGCATGCGTGTATGTGTGTGTGCATGTGTTTCATCAGCCATGATATATTTTACCTAAAAGATGCCATCGAGAAAGCTATTTGCCAAAAATTTTTAAATTTTATAGCTTCTGCATAATGATAACAAGTTCTTAGGTCAGTTAGGTCAAGGTACAATGTGAGCTAATACGTTAATAGTAATTCAGAAAAGAGTGATACAAAAACATGCAATTATAAACCATTTAATAAACTGAAAATAAAGGTACTTGATATGAAGGCAGAACACAGGCATAGTCGTAGTCAAAAGTTAAAAGTCAATTCCTAGTGTTTGTGTTCACACCTAAAAATTAGAATGAATGAGATGTAAGCAACTAAATATCTAACCAACGAATCTGGAAAACAAGATGCAAAGGAACATCAAGACAAGCTAAAAAACAAAACAAAAAAATGTACAAGGTTGAAAAGCTACCTTAAAAAGGACTAAAATCATAGAATTCAGAGAAAATGTATAGGAAAACAAAATAGAATCCTCTAGAAAACTCGCTCAACAACCAGGGGGCAGGAGGAGGGAGCAAGCAAGCATCAAATAGCTGGTGTCTGAAAAGGCTGCAAAATCCCAGCTCCTTACCACTCTCGGTCACTGAACTGATGCTGTGTATCACACATTTGTGTTTCTATTTCCTCTAACGATCAAACTGAGGATCCAAGAACCGAGGTTACTTTTGATGCCATTCAACCGGTGAGCAGTAAAATCAGTTTTTGAAGCCATGTCTCCTAAGTTAGTTGTGTATTTCCTCAATAATCACACAGCATTCTTTAGGGATGAGTGTAAAAGAGGAAGAATAGATAAGCGGCATTCCCGTGCCGACCTATGAGAGGTTGTAACAAGTCGCCACAAGCCAGAAGACTTAACAACCACGAACTCCGTTCCCACAGTTCTGGGGATTAAAAGTCTGAAATCAAGGAATCAGCAGCCACGCTGTCTGTGAAGGCCACAAGGGGGAAGCGGTCCTCGTTCCCAACAAGGTTGTAGCGGTGGCTGGGATTCCTCGCCAGTTCTCAGAGTTCTGTGCGTTCTCATCTCTGCCTCCATCATTGCATCGTCTCTTCCTACAATAGTTCATCTTCACTTTCAGCCTGACGGGATTTAGAATCACCGATGTGTCTCTCTGAGAGTGTCCCCAGGAAGATTCGCCCACCCAAGGTACCTCCTATGGGCTGGGATTCTGGAACTAACTGCAGGTATTTCTTTTTTCTTTTCTTTCTTTCTTTCTTTCTTTCTTTCTTTTTTTTTTTTTTTGGTTTTTTCGAGACAGGGTTTCTCTGTGGTTTTGGAGCCTGTCCTGCAACTAGCTCTTGTAGACCAGGCTGGTCTCGAACTCACAGAGATCCGCCTGCCTCTGCCTCCTGAGTGCTGGGATTAAAGGCGTGCGCCACCACCGCCCGGCTAGGTATTTCTTAATCTGGGTTCTTGGGCAGATGTCCTGACTAGACACCTCACAGTCCTGCTGCCATGCCTTCCCCGCCCTGATGGACTGTGTGTTTTCTTAAACTGACCAAAAGAAATGCTTTCTTCAAGTTGTTAATGTCAGGCATTTGTCAGAGCAGCGCGAAAGGTCACTTAAGCTACTCCCCGCGTCTTCATGTTGTCTCTCCTCTGCCTTAGCCTCCACGGTTTTCTCCACTCGCAAGACGGATTAGTGCCCTCATACTAGAGAGCCTTCGCTCACATCTGGAATAGCTATTTCTGTAATATTATATTCTGACTTTCCAGGTGGCTATATATTTTAGAGAGATACTATTTAACCCCAAGTTAACTAAAAATAAATGTCTTTACTTCTTGTGTTTTCAACAATCTTCATTCTGCATCCACCTAGGGAATCTGTGTACTGTGCTTAAAGTGGCAACACATTCATACGTGTGCTCGTGCACGCGCGCGCGCACACACACACACACACGATCACTGGTCATATAGTTAAGCATTTACTCAAGAAGCAAGAGGGTGGAGGGCTAGTTCTACACTACTGTTCAGATCAGGCAATTTTCAAGGGAAGGGAAGTAGAACAAACTTAGAGGGCAGTGAGCAAGATCTCAAAATCTAAATACCCTGGCCACCATTGAAGGGACTGGTAGAAGAGGCAGGGAAGAAGAAAGTTATGTACACATTTTTTCAATACTTGAAGGACCGCTAGCTGTCTGAGTCTGGGTTTGGCTTTCTATGTCCCTAGTTAGAAAGAACACAATCGATTAGTAGAAACTACAACTACTTTTTATTTATTTATAATTAATTAATTATTAATTTATGTTTTGGGGACTGCTGTTCATTTAACCCAGAATCTTGCTCACAGAGGCAAGCACTGTACCACTGCTCACTTGCAGCCCAGAGGTTTCCATTTCAACTATGTTAATGGAAGATCCTTACTAACTAGGAATGCCTAAGGTGTTAATAGAATTGGATTAGGCGGCCCTGATTCCCGCAAGTGCGCAGTTGTTTCAAATGCCACAGTTGCTAGAACATAGCAGGAGCTGGAAAGAGCAGGGCAGGGAGGGCTGCTGACGGATTTTATTACTTGCTGACCACACCAAGCCAGTCTCTAGATAGAAATCTCTACCTCAAAGTGGGAAAAACACATACTTTTAAGGCCTTTTGCCCAGACATAATGCTTCTCAATAAAATACAGCAGTTTTCATAAAATCAAGTTAATTTCACAGGAAGCTATTATTCTAGGGTGTAGCAAGCTGAAAAAGTCTTGGGTCCGCAGGATAGTGAAGTAACATTGCATAGATCCCATTAGTCAAAGCTGTTGAGGAACTGCATATGTAGTGGATATCTGAAGAACAGCAGTTGAGGGAGTTGCTTGTAAAACTTTTTGGGTTTTTTGGACTGGTATTGATACTGTTACTGCCCAGTGTGCTGAAGACTGAACCGGTTCTCAAGAAGCAGTAGCTCTGTGCTAAGACCAGGCAAGCGGATAACTTGGTCACATTGATTTTAGAGTTTTACGTTAAATTCTTTAAATTTTACTTTTATTTCTGAGTGTGTATGTATATGCATGATTTGTCTGTATGTATGTGCACCACATATGTGTCTGCTGCCTGCAAAGTCAGAAGATGGTATCAGATTTCTTGGAACTGGAATTAAGGATGGTTGTGAGCCTCCATGTGGGTACTGGGGCTCAAACCCAGGTCTTCTGCAAGAGTAGCCAGTGGACTTAACCACTTAGCCTTAGCTGTATCTCCGGTCCCTGACTTACAGGTGTTTAGAAAGGAAGAAAGGCATAAAAGTAGGAATGTATTCAGTGCTAGAGCGCTTGCCTAGCTTGTGAAAGGTCTGAGATTCAGTTGCCAAACATGGGTCTGATGGCACACACAAGTATCTTGGTGCTTGGGAAGCTGAGGCAGGAGGATTGTCATAGGTTAAAGTCCAGCCTGGGCTACATAATGAGTTCAAATACAGCCTTGGTATGTGACAAGATCTTAAAAAAACAAAAATAAATACATAAATAATTTAAAAGGGAGTATGGGATCCCTGATCCAAAAATAAATACATAAATAATTTAAAAGGGAGTTTGGGATCCCTAAACTTCTTAGGCGTCTGTCCTGCTTAGATTCACGACACCTATTGTTGGCATCGGTCAGACACATGAGCTGATTCATGTTACATCAAAAGGCTCTTGTGCTGAGCCCTGAAGGCTGTGAAACATTTGACCATAAGAGAAAGAAGTGTGTGAGGGCAAGATGGCAAACATAGAGAACCTGGTGCAGTGACTGAAAATATAATGTCTGTGTGCTCTGATCTTTCC